ACGTCGCAAGGCCCAGCCAGCGACGAAGATCCTTGACGGAGGAGGGGATAGGCCACTCCGAAATGGCCTTAATCTTTTTGGGATCAGCCCAACATCCGTTCACCCCCACTAAATCGCCCAAGACTGGGATTTCGTCAACGCCAAACATACATTGAGCAAGGTTGGCATAGTGTCCGTTGGCACTGAGGACTTCAAGCACTTTGCGGAGGTGGCCGCGGTGAACGTCAAGATCGGATTGCGTGGAGGATGCGCAACTGTGAACATAAATGTCGTCGAAGTACGACGGTGCGAAGTCGCGAAACGCGCGGAACTTCGCGGTAACCATACGATTGAACGTCACCGGGGCGTTGGATAGACCCTGTGGCATGACCAGCCACTCCCATAACATGCCACTCGGCGTAAAAACCGCCGTTTTTGGGACGTCGCATAGACGCATCAAGATCTGGTAAAGCCATTGCGAAGGTCGATGGTGGAGAAAATGGTAGATCGACCCATGCCGTCGATAATAACGTCTTTGCGAGAAATTGGCGTCTGAGTCGGAATCGTGGCTGCGTTCAGTTTGTTAAAGGCGTGTACAATACGCCATTTCCCACCGGGCTTCTTCACGCAGAAGGTCGGGCTGCTGTGAGGGGAAATGCTCTCGCGGACGTGACCCGCCGCCTTGCGGGTCGCAAAGAATGCGTCGATGGCATCGACTTGGTCGCGAGGAAGCGGCCATTGCCGCGTTACACAATACTTTGCGCCTGGCACGAGGTCAATCTCGTGTTGAATGCCCTTGTCAACCGGGAGGCGACACGGTACCTCGTCGGGGAAGACGTCCTCAAATTCTTGGAGGAGGTCGAAATAGGGGTTGGATCGTAGGGAGTCCCACGTCTGGGACTTCAAAGGAGCCGCGAGGACCGAGTCATCAGCGGTGGAGGTCGAAAAGAGATCCATCTCTTCTTCGACTGTGATCATCGCCAAGGCGGCGATATCGTGGGCGCGGAGAGATTCCACGAGCGAGTGGAAGCTCATCTCTGGCAGTGCCAGGATCTCGGAAGACGTCCGAGGGAGTTCGTGCAAGTTACACGTTTCTTCGATAAACGTGGTTGCCAAGATCGAGGCAACTATCGGGGGCGATAACGTAGCCTCACCGATAACAACAGAGGGCGACTCTGTTGGGGGCACGAAAAGGGTGTTGTGCAGCTCCGTGGTTAGGTCCGTTGGAGCCGCAGGCGCTGGGGCCAATGAGCGCACTGCGGGGCTAGAAGAGGCGAGATCATTACTCATCGCCTCTAGGGGAGGACCAAGTGGTTTGGTGGTGGACGGGGGAAGGCGATCGGCAGCCCGCCGATGAATCCAAGGTTGGCTCGCGTTGAGCCAAGTAACCTTGTGCACGGATTTGGCCTTCCAGTCGATCCATGGCTGGTGGGACTCCAGCCAGGACATCCCGATGATGAGATCCCATCTCTCATCGAGGTCGATAACATAGAACGGTTCGGTCGAGTCGAAACCGTCGAAGGTGATGGAAACGTCGACGATTATGCGTGGTTGAGACGCAGTGTGGCCGTCGGCCATCTTGACGCGAACTCTGTCGGAGGGATCCGAAGAGGGTAAGCGGTTGAAGCGACAGAGAGTGGAGCGGCTGGCGTAGTTGTTCGACGCCCAACAATCGATTAAAGCAGAGAGCCTGGCCGAGAAGCCAGGCACGACAAGTTCCAAACAAATCATCTTGTTGGGTTGGAGCCCAAGACGACACAGAAGAAGGTCTGTGTCCGAGGCTAGGTCCTTAGAGTGTGTCAGCGCGCCACACACCTCCAAAGGACCTAGGGCGTCCCCAGTAGTTCGCCTCGCGCCTACTGGGAGCGACCGTTTCCCGCCGCACTCGAGCTCGGAGCGGGGCGGAATGGTGGGCGTGAGCCACCATGGCGTTCACAATTGAAGCAGTTAGGTGGACCGCTCGAAGGGCGACGCGAAGGGGTATCGGGCGCGGTACGGGAGGAACCGTGCGAGGGTGGGGCGGTTGATGCTACAACGGCGAGGGGTCGGGCATGGGCGGGAGAAATGTCCCGGGCGACCGCAATTGAAACACGTGCGGTCGTCTGATGCCTGGGCCAGCATGGAGACATCCATGTCTGAGGACGCCGCGCGTGCGTGCGCGAAGGAGGAGCAAAATGTTTCCGAAAGCGCGATTCGGACGGCTTCTTCAAAGGTGTCCGGGTAGGCGCGAAACAACTGTGTGCGCGCCGGGCCTTGATTGAGACCGTCCATGAAAACGGTCTCCCGTAGGGATTCCGGGAGTGACTCTTCATCGTTAATGTTCGCAGCCAGGAAGCGAAGATCGTGGATGAATTCCTGAAGGGAGCGTTTCCCTTGCTTGCAAGCCAGATATTGCGAGCGATACCGAAAATCGCTGTTGGGTGGCAGGAACATCGCCTTGAGTTCGGTCTCGAAGACCGCGAAATATGGGAAGCAGTGGCGGTCCGTCAAGCGTTTGGAGAACGCCATATCCTCCGCACGACCCTTCAAATGCGACATCGCGAAAGCTATGCGGGTGGCATCATCGGAGATACGCTGAGCGTCAGCAGCAGTGCTGACTTGTAAAAGCCAGCGGAGGAGTTTGACCGACTCCGCTCCGCCGAATTTGGCCACATCCAGCTTGATCGACTTCAGGCGAGAAGTCGATGGTGTTTCTGACTCTGAAGCGCGCGTGAGGCGCACGATCTCGTCGTAGGCGATTCGCAGAGAATCTTGGAGGGTTCGACCATGGAATGTCATGGTAGAGCCTTGGTCTTCGAGAGTCGCGATTTTCTCGCGAGCGATGCGAAGAGAGTTTTCAAGGTTTCGCCCGTGCGAAGACATCTAAGCGACTTGTTCTTCCAATGCCTTCTGGGCAGCCGTAGCTTCGGCAACCGAGAGATCAATCGTGCTACCGATGCCTTCCACAAGGCGAGTTTGGTTATCGGCAGTCATCCCGCCAAGGAGTAGCGCGGTATCGTTGTCGGCAAAACCGCGAGGCAAAAGGGCGAGGACCGCCTGGTGGGCTGCAGTGTTGGTGGAGGACATAATGTTGGTCGACTGGACGAACGTGGAGTGCTACCAGGTGTGAGCGTGCGCAGAGGAAGACGCAGGAGATGGTAGAATCGAGAATGAATTGATAGCGTTAAGACTACTACGCTATCACTAAGCTACGCGCAACCAACCATTGGTGTATCGTCGGGGGAACACCTTGTTAGAGCAAGATGACTTGTTGGTGCACGAAGATACACCTTGGACTGAAGAGACACCTTGGACTGAAGAGGTGTCGACTAGTCATCCGGTTAATAACCGGATGATGGGCACGGTTACAGCTCGTGTACTTCTGTGCTTACGCTTGGACCTGGGTGTGCGGCGGCCACATCTTGCGGCCCATTTCTCTGGTGCCCAAGCACATCATTCTTTATATGAAGCTTTGTATTTAAGTAATAGACACTTTGGATTGGACAAAACATGCTGAAAAATGTCCAATCCGTGTGCATGAAAATGAGGGAAACACGACGGGTCAAAACACAACAAAATACCCATTAGCCAATCACGTGGTAGGAGAAAGCACGACTGACACACGATCAAATTTTGATAAATCATCGACATTTCGATTTTTCGTCGAGTTTTGGGTTAAAATAACGACGGTACTTTGAAGAGGCCCTTAGGCCTGACACAATGCTACCCGTTGTTACCTGAAGTACCCTTTACCAGAGGGTAAAAGGTAATTTACCTTACCTTTGCCGAAGCCCACTTGTGACTACTGTACAGTATGACTGTGATTAAGCATGAACAAGTTTGCTTTCAATTAGCGATAAACACGTGTCTGTTGTAGTTTACAACAGACACTGGAACCACTTGAGCGGTTTGCGATTGTCCCCCCACCAGCCATCACCCGTGCGGAAGGACAAGTCGGCATGGTTAAATGGCCCTACATAGTGCTGGCTCGAAGTCCCTCCAAAATCGTTGGTGTTCAGTCCCACGGAGCAGCTGTTGAAATCCACGAGGCCATCGCTGGCACTGGCATGCTTCGCCATTTTGTCCACAAGGGCCAACGGCTCCGAATAGATCGACTTCAGACCAAAGCCACTCACGCCACAAGCTGCATGCGACACATACTCGCGTCTGGCCCATTGGCCTGCAACAAACGCGGCTTGCTTGTCACGGTTCACGGTTGATTGATGCCGCAGGGAAAGGTACGCGTGAGCGGGAGGACAGTAGCCGGCCCACGACAGCGGCACTTTGAGGATATTGCTCCAGCCTCCGTCGCGACATTGCTGTTGCAAGAGGTTCACGGCTTGGCTGCCTTGTTGGGGGGACGCCAGCGACACCCACGTCACGTCGTTCGAGAACGTACACACGTTGGATGCGATTGCCCCGGAGGCAATGACGTTGCCCATCGAGTGGGT